TTATACCTCATCCCCAGCCTCAGGTGGCTAATCCGCCCACCGGCGTCTCGAGCCGAGGAGAGCACAGCTGCAGCACAACAGGCTGTTGTTACCGCTGAGTCGTCCCGGCCGACAGCCATATGAAGTAATCGGGCTCTGTGCCAGTAGGAGAAGACAAAAAGGAAGGAGGCAGTAGTTCAGACTCAGGGTGTGTCCCAAATGGCAATCTATCCCCTCTACAGGCTCTGGTCGAAAGTAGTGCACTATATAGGGAATAGGGTGGGGCCCTGGTCAAAAGTAGTGCACTATAAAGAGAATAGGGTGCCATTTGGGACGCTCCCTGACTCAGAGCTATGGAACGACTGACCTACAAACCTGTCTGTCTTCTCTCCGCAAATAAATATCCACCACAAATTATTTTCATCTGTTTATTAGTTATTATAGTACTGGTAATAGTTGCTTACTCTGCATATTAATTGAGACACAACATTAGGTGCATTATGTCATGGGTGCAATAATAGCATACTGTAACGGCTAGAATGAATAGCTGCATTAATCTTTGGTTGTATAGTATTGGAGAATGGATGGTGTTTATTATTGCTGAGCTGTGTGGTTGGTAGGTCAGATCATGGCAGCAGATGTCTCTCCTGAGGGAGAACATAGCATGTGTTTAGTGGTTGAGAGTCTGGGTCTGGGTCTGGCTCAGACCTGGGTTCAATTAGTATTTGGTTTCTATCAAATGCTTTGAGCGTTTGATTGAGCCTGTCTGGAGTGCCAGATAGGCAAGGTTTGCATGTTTGGAACTACCACGTTGGTTCAGTTGCGCCACGCCAGCTCAATCAAGTGCAGCTAAAACATTGAAAGAAAACAAATACTATTTGAACCCAGGTCTTCTAGATCATAGAGCAGTCACAGAACCCTGCCTGTTGTGTGGAAACTTTACCATTGTCTGACAAAAGAAGGGGGGAAACGAGGAACACATTGAAGGGTTTTTAGAGACACTGTGTGTGCAGGAAATCGAATTAGAGTCACTGAATACCGTGAATGCATTAGATTAAAAAGGAGTTAATTAGTGCTAATTAAAATGTGATAGAAATAGTTTCCCATTCAGTCAGTTTTAAACAAATAAACTCAAAATTAGGTCTACATTGTGTTCGATTTTTTTTTTTAAAGCAATAGCATTTCATTATTGTAGATTTCTTCTTTATTTAGTTAATTATATTTACTCTCCAACCTGGTTAGAAATAGTTTGAACTATAGTCATGTGGAATGGTTGTTGTTGAACATACTGAGGTATGTGCCAGCTCCGAGACTAAGTAGCATGTCAAATGGAAATCCTGTCAGTCAATTTAGTGCAGCCAGGTAACACAAAGCAGCTCCCTTTTCTGAATGGCACCTGTCAAACCCCATTACACCTGGACGTCATTGGGTGGTTGGTAAAGGATTACGTCTCTACATGAGGTCACAACCTTTATAACCCCCAAACAGGAACGAGGTGAGAAATTGAATCAGTTCTGGGATGTTTTTGGACCTTTCTGGATGAGGTAGAACACGTGTTGAGCAGGTGGACGTTATGATAAAAGTCTGTCTGAAAGGTGAGGAGGTCACCAGGAGTTTTCCACTGATCTATATGGTTCTGTTATCTCCATGATTCAAAGGCTGTTTCTACTACATGGCAGGTTTATGGAGAGTTTACCTTGGCCTCTGTAGTTAGGTATGCTTCTTCACAAAAATCACATCGCTCTTGCGTACTCAGACTTGCAGACAGGCTCTGCAGACGGGCTCTGACTTATATAAAGGTTTGAGTGTCTAAAGAATGGTGCCCTTTGTTAAAGTCAACTTATCTCATGGAAGGACCCGCCCCGGTCAGACCTGGGTTCAAATATTATTTGAAATCTTTCAAATACTTTCAGTGTTTGCTTTAGCATTTTCTATTGTTTCCATTGCAACAGGCAAGCTCAATCAAGCACAGCTATACAGTGTTGAACCAAGGTCTTGTCTAGACTCGGTTTCAACCATACACAAGGTCTTTCCCTGAAAATCTACTTTAAGACTTGAAGGATAGCACAGGTCATTGATCCCTTTCTCCCCTGTCAACATCATGACATTGGAACAACTAAAAGGTATGAGACTGCAGACTGCAGGATTTCATGTCTCTTTCCAAGCATTCGCCTCCTACCCCTCTCCGCTGGTGTTTGTGTAATTCAGTAGCCTCTAAGAGAATGATTCTGCTCTAACAAGCCAAAATCTCACCCTATTACCTAATAATGCGCTACATTTGGCCAGCGCCTCTGAGAGGCTTCTAGTTCTAACAGGCTTTTTCCATGCTTTGACAGTGTCCTAAACGTCACCCTATTCCTAAGGCTCTGGCCAAAAGATCTGCACTGCTCTGGCCAAAATAAGTTCACAATATAGGGAAGAGGGTGCCATTTCAGACACGCAGCCAGTAAGAACCAACGATAGCCTTATTTCTGAGTAATTCGGAATACTGTAACTAGGACACATACGAGAGCCATATGTCCCAGCGAAAAAGACACTGCCCCTTGGTTTATTTTCTGTATCGTTCGTCATGGTGCCTTGTTGGGTACAGTACGCCCGCTCATTCGCTGTACCTGTGTGTATCCATCCACACTGTTGCCATGGCGAGGAACGAGGAACTGGAATAGTCTGGCATCCATTGCATCCTGATTCTCTCTGTGAGTCTATTCAACACACATTAAATACAGTCATGGTGTATGACTGGTCTAGCTCAGTTGACCTCTACGCCCCTATGGGTATCTACCAGGGTGAGGCAAATGATTGCCCTACTGTTTTTATGGCCATCTTGTGGATGGAGTTTTATACCCATTGCTGGCTCAGTGATATGTGGACAAAGATGAAGATTAAATACCAGGGTAGACTGATTTTAATTCAGTCAAATCAGGAAGTGAACAATTCCAAACCAAGACAACAGAACATACATGAGAACTCCTTCACATGCCTGACACCCTACTGTATTGTCATGTAAAATATGGCATGGATAATAACTTATTTGTTGCCAATCTGCCTCGATTTGTAAGCTTTATTTATTCATTATTAATGCTATAAGGCTAATCATCCCACTGTGCCTAATGAAGGCCTTTAAGTTTGCTACTGGGTTTTCTTCCTCAACAAAGCTATATATTTCCTCTCTCCTTAATAACATCTTTGTTATTCTATAATTGACCATCATTAAAGCTTTCCTAAGGGGTTTATAGATTCTGTCTCAGGGTAGATGTTGATGTTGTTTACTCAGCTAACTGAATGCCTGTTGTGGTCGATGCTTTTGCGAGAGAGAGAGCAAGAGCAAGCGAGAGAGAGACTAAGGAACAAGTCCTGTTGCAAAGATTAAACACTGTAAACACAATTAACCAAGTACATTGGTTTCTTAAATAAACACATTTATTGTAATTAAACAAGCAAAATACCTTTCTGCAGGAGACTTCTTTGTGTTTCAGTGTATTTTCCCCGCCTTCTGCATAGCACTGCATCATAAAATGAAAATGCCAAAAACAAGTTATGAGTTTTAATTATACTGTATCTGCTTCTACACAAGAAAGCCCAAACTAATATTGGTGGCATGTTCAGAGATAACACTGTGTAGTAACTTGCATAAGGCAAGGTAATGCAAGTGCATAGCTATAATTCACAACGATATCTTTCCACTCTTGGCAAAGGGTATGGTACCAGTAATTCTTCTGAGGGGAAAGTCTAATTTTGGTGGCAGGCACAATGACCATCAATCAAGTATTTCCAATATTCATTTCATGATACATTTCTCATCTTATTTTACAGATCTCCAGAGTGGAAATCCCAGAACATTAACCCTCATAAAATCAAATCTACTATATGTGTGTGTATGCTCTGTAGAGAATATCTTTGCACAAGCCATCTTCCTTTTGGGCCAATTTGTCAAGATGACGCAATGTGTGTGGTGCTTGACTGAGCTGACTTTGTACTTTAGGTCCATCTCTTGGCACTTTGATAATGGCCGCACCTACATGTGGTTTTGGTGCAGCTGTGTGCTATTGGCTGTTGAAGTGACATGGTGATGGATGTCAGGACAGGATCACGGTCTGACATATCTCAGGCGGTTGGTCGAACACACAGGCTTCTCAGCTCTCTGACCCTCTGGGAAACTTTGAACTCTTCACTCCTCAAGGTTGACATGATCACACACAGCAGGTAAATACGGTCCGCTGCCTCCTTCAGCCACAAGGCTGGGTTAAAGGACTATTGTGAGGTCAGTCCCCAGGGGTCAAGTTTTCTGAAATGTTATGTAGACTTCACCCTATAAGCATGCACACGCACAGACGCGCACACACACACACTTGATCTGATTTAAATGTTCTAAAAGGCTGTCCTATAAACCCCAAAACAACTTAGGGGATATGGGGATAGAGCGGCCAGTGTGACATACTATTTGTGGTTCCTGGAATGCATGCAAATGACACATGTGCTTGCTGATGTAGTACTGTGTGTGTTGTGTGATGGAGGGGGGATGTTAAATGACAGGGCTGTAACACCAACATAAACTTTACCTTGGTCTGTCTGCTCCCTTCACTTAGAAGGTTACCTCACATGATGGTCTACAGCAGAGAAGTAAAACAGAGAAAAGGAGTCGGATATTGGTATCTCTCGCCACTGTAGCCTAAAGAGCATAAAGGAGTTTGATGCTATGGACTTTCTCTTGTGTTCTTCATACAGTGTTGCTATGAATGTCTCATCTAAAGATTCACAATTGTGGAAGTTCCATTTGATAAATTAATTCATGAATTTGATGAAGATAAAGTCTCAAAGTAGCGATTACTGTAAGTGGCCAACTGTCAATGTGATGACACAATGATTATGCACGTAGTTGAATGGAAAAACGATATCCTTATTGTAACGACCTACTGTAGCCTACTTCAGCCGTTGCAGTCTCTTACCTCTCTCTCACTTTGTCACCCCTCCTTGGGTCCTTCTGCTCCTCAAGACTGACTGTATGTTGGAAACGATTAGCCATTCACTCACCCCTCGCTGTCGGTGGAAGGCACATCCTGCACTGTAAAGTTTTGGGCAAAAGTGCAATTTTCTTTCTCAAGGTGCTACACACGAAACAAAACGGATACTTCAAACTGTCTATCGAAGCCCTGTGCGCATTTCTGTCTACGGATTTTACATCGGAATTTCTTGTAACTATTTTATTCTTTGGGGAGTTTGTCATTATAGGACTGTACAACTATGGAGTTATGCGCTGCGTGAGGAGTGGCATTGAGGAGACACCAAAGCCATGGTAAAATGGGATACAGTCAGTCTGGCTCTAAATAAAAGTTACAAGAAATTCTAAGGTGAGATGTTTCACTTTTTCATTTCGGTTCAGGTCATACCATGTTTGATGTGGGTAAAGATGCGTTCATACAGTGTGCACTAATTTCGCGCAAAGTCTATCCATTTTCTCTACTGTGAAGTATTTTGTCAGAGATCCCCTTTTCATTTGTGTTTGGGTACTACTGAAATAGGCCTATAATGAATCTGTAACCCTCGACCAGCTCCAGTGATAGGAACACTTTGTGGTGGATGGATGCGCAGCTGAAGATGGACCGTCCCGCCACGTTCATATTGATTCTGTCGGTGCTGATGGTGCCAGTTACAAGTCTCCCCTGCCCGCGCCCGTGTACGTGCCCTCAGGCCACAGAGGTGCACTGCACGTTCCGTTCCCTGCTCACGGTGCCCGCCGGCATACCCAGACAAGTGGAGCGCATGAACCTGGGGTAAGCCTGGTGGATTGGCTTTATTCAATGACCCGCAATGAGACCATAGGCCTAAAAAACAGGCATCATACACAATAACTTATACCTTTAGACCTACACTATGTGTAAAATGTGAAATGAATAAAAGTATAAGATTTGTATTTATGCATGTGCATTGTAGGTCAATAAAAATAAACAATAAGCAATCAAATATTCACTTTTCATTAGAGGCCTTTAGAATTGTTTACAGTTCAGTACTTATTCAAATGTGCTGAGCATGTGACTGAAATTAATCTCTATGCAACTCACAAGTAAATATGCATAATGCAATATGCCTACAGTGAAGTCTGATCTAATCTTATTATATGCTTATTGTATACCCCATGCTTTTTAATGAGTCATTTCACATATGAGCTTTAGCCATATCTTAAAAAGAACAGAAAGGCCCACCCACTTTATATATTCCCAACTACCACCTTTATTGACAACGTTTTGATCCCAAGGTCTTAAGTTCCATCAGGTTTTTCACAATTTCTTCTTATATAGTCAGAAATGAAGGCACTTTGCTCCACAAAGAACAAGTCAAGTAAGTTAATAGTCAGTCATGAATTGCTTGTGTCGCTGTTGTTTCCTATAGGTTTAACACCATACACCGTGTGACTCAGACCTCTCTGGCTGGGCTGAGGAAGCTGGAGCTTCTGATGATGCATGGGAATGATCTCCACAACATTCCTAACGGGGCCTTTAGGGATCTCATGTCCTTACAGGTACAGTAATAAACAGGAAATGTTGATTAGCATGAAATATCACCTCAGTACCGTATAATAGGATATACAGTATAGTACCACGCAATTGTTCCATTCCATTATTATTTTCTACTCTATTCTACTATACTCTATTCCAGAGTTTCCCAAACTCGGTCCTGCACCCTGGGGCCCCCCTGGGTGCACGTTTTGGTTTTTGCCCTAGCACTACACAGCTGATTCAAATAATCAAAGCTTGATGATGAGTTGGTTTATTTGAATCAGCTGTGTAGTGCTAGGGCAAAAACCAAAACGTGCACCCACGGGGGGTCCCAGGACCAAGTTTGGGAAACCCTGCTCTATTCTATTAGAATGATAACTCACTCACCTCTGGTGTTCTTCCCCTCAGATGCTGAAGATTAGCTATAACAAACTGAAGGAGATCAACAGACACACTCTCCATGGTCTGTGGTCTCTGACCAGACTACACCTGGACCACAACCGTCTGGAGTTCATTCACCCAGACACCTTCCAGGGCCTCACCTCCCTACGCCTCGTACAGCTGGAGGGGAACAGACTGCAGCAGCTCCACCCCTCTACCTTTTCCACCTTCTCCATGATGGGACACTTCCACGTCTCCACCCTCAGGTGAAGCCTAGCATGATGAACTAACTACAGTACCCATAATTCTTTGGACAATATCTGGTTTTATCTTAGTATCGGGCACTTTCTCAATTCAGCTTTCCTCTATTCTTTGCGTCCTCTCTCCTTACCCGCCTTCTCAAAACCCATTGGAGAAGAAGGTCAGAGGGGCGGGACCTTATATATTCTCTAATGCAGTTGAAAATGAGGCAAGGAAATAGGATGTGAGGATTCACGGAAAGAGGAATTGAGATGGAGCCAAGATGTTCCTGAAGCTAATGTTATAATGTCCCTCCTGTCTCCTTATCGATAAATCAGGCACCTGTACCTGTCAGAGAACAGGCTGACCTCACTGCCCCAGAAGCTGCTGGGAGGAATGCCCCAGCTGGAGAACCTCTTCCTGCATGGGAACCCCTGGACATGTGACTGCAGGATGAAGTGGTTCCCCGACTGGGACAAAAACTCACCAGGTTATGTATTTTATTTACTAGCTACTCAGTGAATGTACGTATTCATCAGTGATGACAGATACAATTGGATCAATGCTCGAAGCATAATGCAGCTGTCATTTTATACATTTGTGCCTTGAAAATGTATGTCCAAAACTCGGAATAATGATGTTAATGTTCCTTCTCGTGTTCCTTTCTTCATAGGTGTGCTGAAGTGTAAAAAGGACAGGGCCTACCCAGGAGGTCAGCTCTGCCCTGTGTGTTCCTCCCCAAAGAATTCACGAATGAAAGACGTCTTGGGCCTGGACAACCTGGTCTGCTCCAGCCCCGTTATCACCTCCCCTGATCGACCTACGACCCCAGAGGACACAGAGACAGAGGTCATGACCCTGGAGGAGTTCAAGGGGCCGTTTGGCAACATTACCCTAGGCCTGACGGACGAGCATGGGAACAAAGTGGATCTGGAGTGCAGCGTCGGGGAGCCCCGCAGGGAGTCGTCTAAGGTCAGCTGGGAGCAGGTCAACCCTCTGCGGCTGGCCTCTAATGTGAGTGTCTCCGTGGATCTGGAGTGTCCCATCAACAGGGACAATTATGAGAGACTCTGGAGGCTGATCGCCTACTATAGCGACACGGCCGCTCACCTGCAGAGAGAGATCATGCTGTCTAAGGAGCCAGTGTCCAGCTACAGGTAGGCTGGATTAAGAAACCGCTTTGTAACTGATCATTATGGGCCAAATTCTAACTTCTACTTGAGTAACATTTTGCTTAGTCATGCATTGACATCAATGCAAGTGAACATTTGTGGAAGCTAGGATTTGCCCCTATGTGATTATTATGTGATTTAATATGTTCATTTCAGAGTGGTCCTCAATACAGAGCAGGGGTGTCAAACTAATTTTCCCCCACGGGCCGCATTCGGTCTTCACCGAGGTCTGGAGGGCCGCACTTAACATGTATTATATTTCCTCGCCATCAAAATGTGCAAAAAATAGTCTTCACTCTATTTTTCAATGCTCCCTGACTGTCTAGCTTTCGTTTCCATGACAGTTAGCTAGCTGGACAGAGTAACGTGACTGTAAGTGTAGGTCCATTATCATTTCTACACAGTCTCGATTTGGTTTTAGTAATTTCAATGTTGATTGAGCGTTTTTTCCACAAAAATAAAAATGTTAATAATAATCAAACCACCCCGGATTGAATGGGCCTTGAGTTCAACACATGATATAGAGCATCTAATTTCATATTATTATGTTATGTTTTGTTATGTTATCTTATGTTATGTGTTATATCTTTCTAATAAACTCAAACTTCTTGACCTCCAGATACAGGCAGGACCTGGAGAGAGACGCGCTGTACTATACAGGCGTCAAGGCTGACATGGTAGCTCAACCATCCTGGCTGATGCAGAGCTCTGTGGACCTGCAGCTGAACAGGCCCCAGTCCACTGGGAAGAGCGTCAAGCTGATCCTCAGCACCCGCCTCACACAGACCGTGGACCTCGAGCTGGAGCGCAGACACCGCAGGACATGGGTCATGATAGAGAACACAAACACTACCAGGACGGTGCTGAGTGTTGTAGTGGGCAGTCCTGCTGTAATGGACTGTAACGTGTTGAGCTCAGGAGACACGGTGGTTCGCTGGATGCTGCCAGACGGGAACCAGCTGGAGGCACCGTACAGCAGCCCAGACAATAGGGTGTCAGTGTCGAACACCGGTAGGTTGGATATTAAAGCTGTAGGACACTCAGACTCAGGGATATATTACTGTATCGCCCAGGTCTCTGATGACCTCAGTGTCCTCCCTTTCCGCCTGGCGGTCGAGGAGTCCTCCAGTCCTCCCCCTCTTGGAGGGGATGAGACGGCGCCTACCCCCGTAGAGGGGTTCACCGGTGTCCCTCTCACCCTGAACTGTGTCGTGTCTGGCTCTCCTGACCCTGAGATTAACTGGATCCTTCCTGACAGCAACATAGTGAGTCACAGAGCCAACTCTTCTAGAGCTCTGGTGTATTCCAACGGAACTCTGAGAGTCTCAGAGAGTCGACTGACAGACAGTGGATATTATAAGTGTGTGGCGATGAACCAGCATGGTGTATATTCCCTGGCTACTAAGGTGACTCTCACCAGACAGTTAGGAGCAGAGATACGACCACTGAGGAGAATGAGGCCACAGTCTGCTTCAGGGGTCAACACCAGGGTCAAAGCCCCCATGGAGGACACTGAGGAGGCATCAGGGGACGATGAGGACACACAGGAGGAAGTTCCCTCCTCGTCTTCCTCGTCTTCCTCCTCCTCCTCATCCCCGAGCCGTGTGGAGCTCATGAATCGGCGGAGAGGTCAAAGTTCAAACAGGGGTGGTGGACATCCATTTAGAAACACATGGAGACGACCTGCTGTACCTAGAAAACCAACCACGGCAGGGACAGATTATAAAGACAAGAAAAACACAGTGGAGACGAGAAGGAGGATTAACGTGGCAAACAAAAATATAGACCCAGAGAAGTGGGCGGACATTTTGGCCAAAATCCGTGACAAGAACGGACAGGGTAACACTAACATAACACCCAGCTCAACTCACCTCACCACAAAGAAGAAGCAGGAGTCAACGACAACAGCCAAAGCTAAGCAGACAGAGTCTCCGGACAACATAGAGGGATCAACAGTAGACCTACATGAGGAAGAGGAGGAGGAGCTAAACACACCCACTACTATACCGCATACACCCACTCGACACACTACTTACACCACAGACTCAGACGCCGATACAGCCACAAATCGTGCACATTTCACGCAGCCGGTCACAGAGCCTGTCACATCTGTTCCCCAGCAGCTCAGTAACACTGTCACACACACAGAGACGCAAGGCAGGCACACAGTCGCACACACACACTCCCAGACCCTGGGCCAGCTGCATATGAACGTCTGGACCAGTTCTTCATACGACGATTCTTTACAAGGAGAAAATCAAAGCACCACCACCACCGCTATGACTACAGATGGTGATACGGTTACAAAGTCTGATATCTCACCCACGTCTGAGTATAATCAGGGGGCGGAAGACGCTAACGAACCCAGTGTTGTTAACAGCTATAATGAAGGAGGTGAAGCATATTTAGACAGAGCTGAACTTGACCCATCAATCACCACCACCACAGTTAGAGGGGACTCTGAATCGGAAACAGAGAGAGATGAATTTGATCACTCTTTCACTGAGACTGAGAGCACAACAGCTAAACTAGACACACATACTCAGCTAAAGCAGCATACAACGTCTAATATAACCCATCTTCCACTCACCACACCCTCTCCCACAACCGAGCTCACTTCAGCTGTGAATATGAGGAAGGAAACTCCAGGTGAGGTGTATACTCGACTCAGAAACCAGAACTCCAGGAGGAGGAATGGGGGTGGGGGCAGGAGAAGACGGCCCAATACAGGTAGAAAGAAGCCAAAGCCTGAGAATCCATTGAGAAGTGATTTTACATCTACAGCCATACCTAAGTACACCCTCCCAACAACTACCAAGGCAACCACTGCCACATGGACTAAAATAGAAACATCCGACAAGTCCAAAAGCATGACGGCCAGGTTTAATACCGCAGTTCCATCGACGGGAAGCCAAGCAACGTCATCAGGCAGAGTGAGTCACCAAGAGAACACAGGAGTCTCTTTATACGACGACAGGATTGACCCTTCAGTGAAACCTACAACACGCTCCAAGACAAAGGACACCCTTTCACCACACGCCAAACCACTGTCCAGGAGCACAACTGCCCCAACGGCGTCTCCTACAACCTCTATAACAGAAACATATAAACAAACATCCCAGAACAGCCATCACATAACAGCCCCAGCCCCAGAAGGAGCCTCTCAGACTCCAAACACTCAGAGCCCAGTCCCAGAGCGCTCGAATGTGCCCACAGCAGCCAGTCAGGGGAAATTTACAAGCATCCCCATTCCTGCAGTTCCTGCAGAGACAACACAAAGGGGAGGCAGCGTTACTGTAGACCTTCGCCCTGTTCCAAGTCCTGACAAGTCCCCGGAGAATCCCGACACTCGACCGGGAGTGCTACCAGATGGACAGCTCAACACACCAGACTATCGAGATACAACTGGTACTACTGAGGTTAAAAAGGTGCCGGTCAAAGAGATTGACAGCGTGTCTCCATCTATCCGCCATGAAATAACCAGAGCACACGGCACAACACACGCCCCGGGTACCTCAACAAAAGAGTCCTTTCATGAGGAGGCAGGACATGAGAGGGCTCGGGTTAGCACCACTGAAAGGCTGGTGACATCTGAAAGCTCTTATCACGGATCTGGTCCCGCTAAAACAGTCACTGTTAAGCCCGGAACAATCTTTGATGGGCGCTATAACATCAGAGAAAGCACTTCCACCACAGGCAAAGACCGAACACCAGTGGAAAATGTTGCAGTTTCTGTTGCTGCTAATACAACAAAGGATGTTACTCCAACTATGACACCTGTCACCTCCACATCAGTTAGGACATCCGTAGTATTCCCCTCTAGGGTGAGGCCTCAGATCCCTGTACTAAACACTCCATCCACTAGGGTCAGGACCCAACCTTCATCCAGAACAGTGGAGGCTCCCTCCAACTCCAACCACATCCCAGACAGTCACAGAGAGAGAGTCCTCATCTCTCAACCCGACCAGAGGAACAACCCTATCCTCAACAGAGGAGACTCCATCCTAATCACCAGATCTGACCCCAACAGACCACCACCCGACTCCCACACCACTACTAAACTAGAGTCAACTGACATCAAGCCTGATCCAGTCACCGGTGTTAAACCAACCACCACAGAACCCAAAACACCCCACAGGACAGTCACAAACACAAACACCCAGACGGTTAAACAGACGACCACTACAACCACTCTCGCTCCCACCACCACAAAGCGCATTTCTCAGACTTCATCAGTGTCTTCATCGAGGCCTCAGAGTCCGTCCAGGGGGGGCCAGAGGACAGAGACCCCCACCCAGACACAAGGGGTATCAGGTGGGGTGTCGGGAGGGGGTCAGAGACCCTCCGTAGCAGGGCCTGATGTAAGAGGGAAGCCCCAGATCACCAATGTGGATGTGCAGACAGTGACAGTGAATGCAGAGATGGATGCACAGCTACCCTGTGTGGCTGTAGGGGAGCCCAAACCCTTCCTCTCCTGGACTAGAGTCTCCACTGGTATGTATAACAGTACTTCCTTTTCTGTTCTCCTCTCATCATAGAAGATCCTCCTTCACCCTCTGTTACAAAATCATACAACTGTATGTAAGCCTGTTAATGTAAGAAAAAAGGAGAACCCTATTTGTAACGATATAAGCTATGCTCCATTCCTATGTGTTTCAACAGACAACATGTCTTTAACCGTATATTATTTTCATTCATGCAGGAGCCACAGTAGCCCAGAACACTCGGGTCCAGAGGTTCGAGGTGCATCTCAACGGCACGTTTATCATCCGTAACACCCAGCCCCAGGACCGAGGCCAGTACCTCTGTATGGTCCAGAACCAGTACGGCGTGGACAAGATGGTGGTCACCCTGATGGTTCTGGCCCAGCATCCCAGAGTGCTCCAGCCGCGCTTCCGCGATGCCACCGTGTACCACGGAGACGGCATCGATCTGGAGTGCCAGGTACAGGGACACCCCATGCCGCGGGTCACCTGGGTGCTGCCTGACAGGGTCCACCTCGCTGCCCCCCCTTCCCAGGGCCCTTCCAACCCAGCCAGTGGCCCCCAGCCCGGCCCTCAGTCTGGCCCCAAGCGCGTGACCCTCCTCAGTAACGGTACTCTCCGAATAACCCAGGCTAGCTACATAGACAGAGGGATCTATAAATGTATCGGCAGCAGCGCGGCGGGGGCCGATACAGTTTCTGTCCGTCTCCATGTGGCAGCCTTGCCTCCAGTCATCCAACAACCTCGCTATGAGAACATGTCCCTCCCCGAGGGCAGCACAGCCTACATCCACTGCACCGCCAAAGGAGCCCCTACGCCCATCATCCGCTGGTCCACGCCCGACGGAGTCCAGCTTCTCGCCACACAGTTTGTCAACGGACGTAATTTCTTTGTCTTCCCCAACGGGACCCTGTACGTCCGTGGGCTAGGCCAAGACGACGCGGGGAGATATGAGTGTGTGGCCAGTAATGCGGTAGGAGCCTCCAGGAGAACCAGTATTCTGACAGTACTGAGGCTCCCATCCTCCACCAAGGCCAGGATTACCTCCTCGTCTCCCCAGAGGACTGACGTGGTCTATGGGGGGCTGTTGAGGCTCGACTGCATCGCCACAGGAAAGCCAGAGCCCAGGATCGTCTGGAGGACTCCCTCTAAGAAACTAGTGGATTCCCAGTACAGGTATGCATTTCTGGCATCTTTTTCACTCACTGTCTAATATGCCCTTCAGACCGTTGTCTGTATGTACAGTGCCTTCAGAAAGTATTCATACCTTTGACTTTTTCCACATTTTGTTGTGTTACAGCCTGAATTTAAAATTGATTAAATTGAGATTTTGTGTCACTGGCCTACACACAATACCCCATTATCTCAAAGTGGAATTATGTTTTTAGAAATCTTTACAAATTGATTAAAAATGAAACGCTGAAGTATTCAACCCCTTTGTTATGGCAAGCCTAAATAAGTTCAGGAGTAAAAATGTGCTTAACAAGTCACATATGTTCCATGGACTGTGTGCAATAATAGTGTTTAACATGATTTTTGAATGACTACCTCATCTTTGTACCCCACAAATATAATTATCTGTAAGGTCCCTCAGTCGAGCAATGAATTTCAAACACGGATTCAATCACAAAGACCAGGGAGGTTATCCAATGCCTCGCAAAGAAAGGCATCTATTGGTAGATGGGTAAACATTTAAAAGCAGACATTGAATATCCCTTTGAGCATGGTGAAGTTATTAATTATACTTTGGATGTTGTATCAATACACCCATTCACTACAAAGATACAGGCATCCTTCCTGCCAGAGAGGAAGGAAACCGCTCAGGGATTTCACCACGAGGCCAATGGTGACTTTAAAACAGTTACAGAGTTTAATGGCTGTGATAGGAGAAAACTGAGGATGGATCAACAACATTGTAGTTACTCCACAATAGTAACCTAAATGACAGAGTGAAAAGAAGGAAGCCTGTATAGAATTAAAATATTCCAAAACATGCATTCTGTTTGCAATAAGGCACTAAAGTAAAACTAAAAAATGTGGCAAAGAAATTAACTTTTGTCCTGGATACAAAGCGTTGTGTTTGTGGGCAAATCCAACACAACACATCACTGAGTACCACTCTTCATATTGTCAAGCAGACTGGATTTTTTAGGTGGCTGCATCATGTTATGGGTATGCTTGTCATTGGCAAGGGAGTTTTTTTGGATAAAAAGAAACAGAATAGAGATAAGCACAGGCAAAATCCTAAAGGAAAACCTGGTTCAGTCTGCTTTCCAACAGACACTGGGAGTCAAGTTCACCTTTCAGTAGGACAATAACCTAAAACACAAGGCCAAATATACACTGGAGTTGCTTACCAAGACAACATTGAATGTTCCTGAGTGACTTAGTTACAGTTTTGACTTAAATCGGCTTGAACATCTATGGCAAGACTTGAAAATGTCTGTCTAGCAATGATCAACAACCAACTTGACAGACTTTTTAAAATAATAATGTGCAAATATTGTATAATCCAGGTGTGCAAAACTCTTAGAGACTTACCCAGAAAGACTCACAGCTGTAATCGCTGCCAAAGGTGATTCTAACATGTATTGACTCAAAGGTGTGAATAGATATTTCTGTATTTCATTTTCAATATATTATCAAACATTTCTAAAAACCTATTTTCACTTTGTCATTATGGTGTATCGTGTGTAGATGAGTGAGAAAAATATATATTTAATCCATTTTGAATTCAGGCTGTAACACAACAAAATGTGGAATAAGTCAAGGGGTATGAATACTTTCTGAAGGCACTGTATATCAACTATCATCATAAGATGCTATCATGAATGAGAAGGTTTACTGTGAAATCATACAGGCACATTTTCTTTTCCCTAAAGGTTAGCTGAAAAACCATAAAAGAAAGACCTAAGATGGTTCCTATTCACAAACAATAACAACTTGTTTTTGTTGGGGGGGGGGTTTTCAGCTTCGACCCCAGGATAAAGGTGTTCACCAACGGTTCTCTGGCCATCCAGGCCATGACAGAGAAAGACGATGGGGACTACCTGTGTGTGGCCCGAAACAAGATGGGGGACGACTACATGCTACTGAGGGTTAACGTGCTGACCAAGCCGGCCAAGATTGAGCAGAAGCAGCTGCTGGCCAGTCAGAAGGTCTGTCTTTTGTCTTAGTTTTCTTTATGTAAATAATGGGAGCGTCCCAAATGGCACCCTATTCCCTGTATAGTGCACTACTTTTGACCAGAGCCCTATGGGCCTTTGTCAAAAATAGTGCACTATATAGGGGTTAGGGTGCCATATGGGGCACAACCGTGGTGTTTTTAATGTGATGTTTTAATGTGTTATGTCATGCATATTTTTCGGTTGATTTTCTGTCTAATATAATAATAATAATAATAAAAAATTAATTGTAAAGTGGTTGTCCCACTGGCTATCATAAGGTGAATGCACCAATTTGTAAGTCGCTCTGGATAAGAGCGTCTGCTAAATGACGTAAATGTAAATGTAATGTACGATTGGATAAATAATACATCTTTTTGAATTGGCATTTGAAGGTGATGTATGGAGGAGACCTGAAGGTGGATTGTGTAGCATCTGGCCTCCCCAACCCTGAGATCCGCTGGGCTCTGCCGGACGGCACCATGATCAACACACTCAAACAGACGGATAGTAGGGTTAGAGGTGGGCGCATCCGCAGGTACATGGTGTTTGTTGAATCACATCAACTTTACACATACCGTAATATGTTATTGAATCACATTAACTGCACAGTCGATAAGAATAACAACACTATTTTCAAACAGTCACCCAACCCCTCCCACCCCCCAGATATGTGGTGTTCGACAACGGGACGCTATACGCCAACGACGTGGGGATGAGAGAGGAAGGAGACTATACCTGCTACGCTGAGAACCAGATAGGGAAGGATGAGATGAAGGTTCACGTCAAGGTCGTGGCGGACCCTCCGATCATCAGAGACAAAACTCAAAGCCCTGAAGTCATCAGGGTTCTCTATGGGGAGACCGTGTCACTGAAGTGCACCTCCAAGGGAGAGCCGACCCCAGTCATCACATGGCTCTCCCCTACTAACCGGGCCATTGCCTCCTCCTCCGATAAGTACCAGGTCCATAATGATGGTACATTAGTGGTCCAGAAGGCTCAACGCTTTGATGCTGGTAACTACACCTGCACATCTAGAAACAGTGCCGGCCAGGACCACAAAGTCACCAGGGTGGACGTCCTTGTGACGCCGCCAACCATAAACGGACTGAGAGGTATGGTCAACACTAGAGTGACGGCTATAAGGGACCAGCGCACCATGCTGGCCTGCGAGGCCGTGGGGACACCCATCCCCCGGGTGACGTGGGTATTACCAGAGAACATCATCCTCCCGGCGCCGTACTACGGCAGCAGAATGACGGTGCATCGTAATGGTACATTGGATATACGTTCGCTGAAGGGGACCGACTCGGCTCAGCTGACCTGCATTGCACGCAATGAGGGTGGGGAGGCCAGGCTGATGGTCCAACTGGAGGTTAGAGAGATGGTAGAGAGGCCGCAGCTCAGAGGACCCAAAACAGAGAGCCTCTCTCTAACGGTGGGCGGTACCATGACCCTGAACTGCTCCTTTGAAGGAGGCCCAGCACCCCCAACGGTAACATGGATCCTCCCTAATGGTTCCCCCCTCATGAGCGGTGCCCAGTTGTCCAAGTTCTTCCACCGACCTGACGGCTCCTTAGTCATCACTAACCCCTCTGTCTCTGAGAGTGGTATGTACCGCTGCCTGGTGAGGAATGTAGCTGGGTTAGTGGAACGTACCATTACTCTAGCCCCGGAGAGGAAACCAGAGATCAATAACCACTACAACTCCCCCATCAGTATTATGAATGGGGAGAGCCTCCAACTCCACTGTCTCTCCACGGGGGACCCCCTCCGGCTGACTTGGACCCTGCCCAGTGGGGTGGTCCTGGGGCGGCCACAGAGAGCCGGTCGCTACGCTGTCCTGGCCAATGGAACGCTCGCCATCCAGCAGGCGTCCGTCTACGACCGCGGCTCCTACGTCTGCCGAGCGGCCAACGAGTACGGCAGCGCCCTGCTCTCCGTGCCTGTCATCATCATCGCGTACCTGCCTCGCATCACCAACGGCCCTCCTCCCGTGATGTACGCTCGCCGCGGCGTGGCGGTCCAGCTGAACTGTGTTGCCACAGGGATCCCCCGAGCTGAGATTGCCTGGGAGACGCCGGACAGGACGCGGCTAGTGGTCAGCGCCCAGCCACGCCTCTTTGGCAACAAGTACCTCCACCCACAAGGCTCTCTCATCATCCAGAACCCCACACAGAGAGACCAGGGCTTCTACAAATGCACCGCCAGGAACGTAATAGGGGTTGATACTAAAGTAACCTATCTACATGTGGTCTGATTAGCCTTAGACAAATAGGATTTTCATCATATGCCCAAGAAACTGCCAAAGGAGCTGAGCACAGCCAATGCTTTTCATCCATTCACATGATGTTGGAGAGACTTTTAATCACTGTCAATGCAAGTAAAGATACATTTTCGAATCGGTAGCTAAACAACCGTGCTACTGTGTATGCAGTATCTGTTCTGTATGTGTCCTGTGCCGTCATTCAAGCCCATGTTTCAGCTGCATTTCAAAAACCATTTTGTGACAAAGCCATTTTTCACTCATCAAAAAACACTTTGGTATGAAGGACTTTAATGGAGAGCAAAAACTGTAGTACTATTATTTGTAGCATTTATACAGACTGTATATGAGAGCATATTACTTTTCATGTAGGTTGCTTCTCTTTTCCATCTCCTGCGCTGACAATGACAATTTATGTCAAACTGTGTAGATAAGCATAGCTAAATATCTTTTTATGTTCGATCGATGAAAATATTCTAAATTATATGCTGTTGATACAGAAAATATCCAACATTGCTGAGATGAGGACGATTTCAGGGGCCTAAGCAACAATGGTTGGTGTAACAATTATGAATAACCATCCATATCATCTTACAACCATCCATATCATCTTACTATCTTAATCAAAAGTATTTTTAAGGACTTGTAACCCTGCTATTTACAGGAGCGACTCACACATTACCGTAACTGTGATTATTGTACATGCAATATGGTTTAGATCTGCTTGCAACCCTCATAAGTGTCAACATCAGCTCATCAAATAATACTAATATGTTTTAACATGTCCTCATTATTAAATTATTTGTCTTTAAAAGACTGATGTATAGGAATTGTACAAATTTTGAATAAAGAGAAGCTCAAAATCCATCGTCATCTTGTAGAATATGATTTATATTTTTTTTAAATTGTGGGGGGGGTTGATCAGCTTTAATATTGCAGATAGATTGTAACTTCCATCAATATAATTGTCTGCATCACTTCCAATCCCCCATATGTTTTTTTCCCCGCAAATATATATATATATATATATATATATATATATATATATATACACATATACACATATACATACTTATATACGTTTGAGAAAAGACTATGGATGCATCCCAAATCGGAAATAGGGTGCCATTTAGGATGCATCCATAGTCTATGGGCCCTGTTCAAAGTAATGCACTACAAAGGGTATAGGGTGCAATTTGGGACGGGGGTAAGAACTTCGAACTAGGTCAGCAGGACAGATTAGGGAGCCGTCTTCCAAGAGTAAACATTTTCAAACGTAGCTCTGGGAATTATTATACAGTCATGGTCCCTCTTTTGCTGAAAGGAGAACCACCTGGTTGTGTGGGGGAAATCCCCTATTAGTTCACTGGTTTCCCTCTGAAAGAATTACAGATTTAACTATACAGACTTTAATTGTAATCGGCTTTCATGATTTATGAAATCCACTCACAACTTGAATTGGTGCAGTACCACTGTGAGAGGGATGACATAGAACATGTGTTTCTTTGACTATTGATGGACCTGCTCTTCAGTAAATGGCCCGTACAATTGGCTGTTGAGCCCGAATAATAAATCTTCCCTCTTTTGTTTCAAATAATCAAAGAAATAAAGGCTTTAGCTATCTCTCACTGACCCAAGCCCAGGTCAAACACAGAGCAGAAACAACCTAGGGCCGCTGCTCACATCTTGGACACACCTGTGGTCCTGTCTCTGCCAGTAATATGGTGATGAAGTCGTCCATTTGCCATTACAGTACCTTATTGTCATCAGCACTAAGTACTGCAGTCTTGCCTTGTTTACAGTGTTTATATGACAATGTCTTTCCATCTCCACCTCCGCTCTGCTCTGTCTTTAACATAGTTAACGTAATGCCCTATTATGGAGAGAGAGAGAGAGAGAGAGAGAGAGAGAGAGAGAGAGAGAGAGAGAGAGAGAGAGATAGAGAGAGAGATGAGAGAGAGAGAGAGATCGAGCATAGATAGAGCTCTAGCAGGGAGAGAGAGGTACTAGAGCGACTCTATAGCTAGCTCTCTCGATCGCTCTCCGAGCTCCTCTCTCTCTCTCTCTCTCTATCTCTCTCTCTTCCTCGCTCCTCGCTCTCTCTCTCTCGTTCTCGCTCGCGCTCTCCTCCTGCTCTCTCTCTCTCTCTCTCTCTCTCTCTCTCGCGCGTCCTCTGCTCTCGCTCTTTTTCTCGAGAGCCTAGAGAGATCATTGGTATTCCAGAGGCAGCTTTTACCCAGATGATGTTGATGCTACAGAATCAAGTGGATGGTGATTGGGGAAGGTCTAGGACTTTCCATTATCTGATTAAACACTAAAGATGTGGAGCACATTGTGGAAAGATTTTGGAGATTAACAGGGTTGAGTGAGGAAATTACGTTTCACTTTTAATAGGTTTATTTACCTGCACTTCCCTATACTTATCAAGAAAATATTTATTAGATACAAGTGATTTTAGAGAATGAATAGGGAAGACTAGTGTTACAGGTTCCTAAATCTGATTGACAAAATCAGAAACATATTTACAAAACATGGTCGTTTTGCTGTGTTGTGATTGTACAATCATAAATGTGATATGTAACTCTGTGTTGTTGTTTTTATCGCACTGCTTTGCTTTATCTTGGCCAGGTCGCAGTTGTAAATGAGAACTTGTTCTCAACTGGCTTACCTGGTTAAATAAAGGTGAAATAAAAAAATAAAATTAAAAAAAACTTCATTTTAAAGAGATTCCGTGATAGTCTGTGTTCAGAACAACTCTAATCACAGGAGACAATCACCCTCAGTCTCCTGTGTTCTAGAGTCATGGGAGCAGAATACAGGCCCTTTGGAACAGGCTGTGAATGCTAAATTCCACAATGATGAAAGCTGGAGTGTACCAAAACCCTCTTCCTCCCTGTGGTCTCTTAGATGTTGACAAATGCTGTTAGATGTAATGTGTGTGTGTGTGTGTGTGTGATGATCATGCACATGGAGGTTGTGTGTGATTCATGCAGGCCTATGTGTGTGTGAGATTTATGCCTCGGTCTGTTCAGACACTGCGTGACTTTGCTAATTCATAAAATCAAGCCAAAAGACTCCAATTACATGGTATTCAATCAATTCAATCTCAGGACGAGCAGCATCCCTCAAAAGTTTTCTCAGTTGCCTGCCTCACCCACAGACTAACCCAAAGTCAACTCAAAAGACTGCCTGGGCGGTGATGTCATTTGCTCCTATGGCTAGAGCAGGAGGTGTTTGGGAGTGTGGTGTGTTCCATGTTGAGGTGTGACCAGAGCACATTTATAACTTAACAGTGTCTGAGCTTGCAGGATAACATATGGCCCATAGATTACTGTAGTAACACAGGGAAAAGTAGCACCTGTAAATGCACAAACCTCTTGAGTGTAAAATGTAATCCTTTTACCATACATAGGAAACAATGACTGGGGAATAACTGCTATGGCTTTGTTGAGTGCGGGCTAGTTTCAACAGTGCAGACGGAATAGCCACCACAACAGTACAATGGCTGGCAGCCAGATGTTGCCAATGACTTAACGTAATTTATCCAAATTGAAATGTTTAACCAAAGACTCCGTAAAGGATCTTTCAAAAGAGGACAGCAACATCCATATGCTGATTTATTTGTTGATTATGACGTACAGCCACTATGCTGTCATAAATGCGTTAAACTCTGTGGTCGGCGCGTAAAGTAAGCTATGATTTTATAATAACTCATGCTGTATCTTGCAGGTAGCAGGTGTTTTGCCGCGTTCATGTGTTAGTCGTATCCATGTGATAGTCGTATCTAGGAAACTCATACATTTCCGACTTACTATCTGGTAGAACGCGGCACGTGTATAATTACAACCACTTATCAAGTCTGAAATTTCCGAGTTTCCTAGTTCTGATAGCACGTGAATGCGGCAAACGTTGAGCTTCACAGTGACGTCACACCAAACTAGCAAATTACTTCCTTGGAGATGACGGGCGCGCTCCGTCGTTAGGGACACTGCTGTGCGTAATACAGGTCAGCAATTAATCCAGGACATTGAAGAAGTTTAGTTGGTAATAGGTGTTATCAGCAATAGTAACAATGCCTCAAAATGCAATAGTTATCGTGCGCTACGGCCCATATGAATCGTGTGGAATCGTGGACCACAGAACGTTTCGTCTGATTGGCCTCCAAGGTAGATCGAATCCTTGGCTACATGAAAATAATAAACGTGCATATTGCAGTGTCATAAAGTGGCGTGCGTGCATTTATAAAGTGCCTTTTAGTTTTATATAAGTGAGCAATTAGTAGCCTACGTTTAGTTTTCCCGATAATAATAGCAGTTATCCATGTCTTCTAACTTTCCTAGCTGCATTGAAAGAGGATGGACATCAAAGTGTCTTGGAAAAAATGTCTGATTGGAACAAGGTGGAACTTGAGGTCAATGGAGAATGTGTCTACACATGCAGCATAAAACAGCTGGAGTTTGGTAAATTCAATGTAGATACTGTAGATTACTCTACCAAATTGTACAGAATCTTACCTGTGGTCAATTATGACTAATTTATCGTTTTCACAGAGTGAGGTAAGCATACTGTGACTGAATGCACATTGATTTAACCGTTGTCCACTCTGATTGTGACATCATCTGTGAAAAACATCATTCAATAGCAGGGGTTTTCAACCCGGAGTCTGCCCTCCCCCTAGGGGTCCGCGAAAATATAACAAAACAAGTGGATAAAAATTTTTTTTAAATGAATATCGCTAGCAACAACAGAATAAACACATTTTGAATGACATACCTACAGTTGGAAATAGGATAATATCTTATTTCTGATGATATCAACTTTATTTATCAAGATATTCTGATGATATCAACTTTATTTATCAACTGCCAATTACAGTTAGGGGAGAACTGGGACTAAAGTAAAACTTTTTGTTTTTGTTTCTAATTACTCAGAGATCGATAGAGCTAGAGACACCATATTGTATGACAAACAACTTTTGTGTCCTCAACCATTAGACACTATAATTTAATTTATATTGTAAATGAGTTGAAATTCAATAGACCGAGAACAGAACTACCGCAATGTTACTTTTGTACCTGCATGCGGGGCGGGAGTAACACGGCCTTGGGACAGAAGTAACAGCTGGCGAGAAGTGCACAATATTTGTTTCATCTCCATGTTTCTGGTTTGTAATGCTCGTTAATTTCAACAAATGTACCATCATTTCATGTTTGTGCCGATTTGAATAATTAATGCTATAGGTTCAACATTTGTGAAAATTAACCATGCGTCAACATTGCAATGTTGCGAAAACACAATATTTTGCCTTACAATTTTAATCGGAATAAAATGGATCACGTAATAGCTATTTTAAGCATAATTTTCTAGTCTAGTTGTGCATAGCCCTACCAATCAGGTACGCTTTGGCTGTCCTTGTCATGCGCGCGCCTTGTGTCTTGATAGAAAAATGACTTTATTCTCTTCACAAAAGGCAAACTCATCATGCTTATCACATTTCCATGGCTTGATACAAGGTTATTGACCCCCAGAATCATAAAAATATATATTTTTAACCACTAACCTGTCAATAAAAGCTTATGTGAGAAGCTGATCCATCAAGCGAATTGATTAAGGCATAATTCTAATGATGTCATATAGAATTTTCAAATATTCAGTCACTTGTTGATATTTTGCTAACATTATAAAAGCTATATGAACTAGAGGAGACAATGACCTGTGCTTAAACGTTTATTTTGTTTTATTCCAGGTCATCAGTTTACATTGTGTTACTTTCGTCCCACCGGTCTCTCCTGTAACTTCTCCCAGGCTAACACCCAAGACTAGCTAGCATGATACTAGAAACCTATGCTGTCATTTAGTCACTAGAT